ACACAAAAGTTGAGGTAGTCTGTAAGACAGTGTGTCGCCCCCTCTATGTCCTCACCATGTGGGCTCAGGAGCACATTCCAGTCTGTGGTGTCATAGCAGTCTCTCAGAGCATCCTCCTTTTCTGGGGTCCATCTCCGGATGGAGCGCGTTGTGACAGGCTGCCTTTGGACGAGGGGTGTGTATTGTGGGGACGATTGTTATTGCTAAGAATGAACAAAAAACTAAGAAATATTAGCAGACCGTATTTGCTTGTAGTAAAAATGTAATCTAACTGGGGTTTTATTCCTCTAATGTTTTCCCAAGTATCTCCAGGATCATCCTTACATATCTCCCTAAAATCGTCTAGTAAAGCAAATTCTTTATAAATAATTTTAGCAGCAAAAGATGTTTACCTCTGTCTACTGAGCCATTTAAATCACCCTCCACAACAGCTTCATTTGTCATGAAATGTATGTCTAGATTGGCTAATAACTCCTTAGGAACTGGAGGTTCTGCATCTGCGTGTATGTTAATTATTCTATGTTCTTTACTGTCAATATCGACACACACTCTCACTCCAATCTGGATTCTCCCTTGACCCATTCTCTGGAAAACAGCAGTATATCACTATCATCTTTTAAATGTCCTTCTTGTAACAAACATATGTCAAAAACAAATGTTGCCAGGTAAGAAGAAACTACTGCTGTCTTTGTTGGGTTTTGTAATCCCCTGACATTCATGGTCATGATTTTAAAATCGGCCATGTATCTGAAGGATTGTGGGGTTTTTGGGGTTTTTTGTTTTCTTTTTCCAGCTTCTTCTTTATCAATGAGTAACATAAACAGTTGGTGCTTCGTGCTGAGGAACGCCTGTGACAAAAGAGTGAGACATATTGATCCCTCTAGCACCTCCTCATTATTTTGTATTTGTCATTTCCTGTGGAGATGGAAATATTACATGCGGGAGGATTTGTTATATTTCCAGATGACCGGCCAATAGTTACATTACTAGCAACGTCTTCATCCAAGGGAGGAAACCCACTGACAGTTTGTTTTGTCTGACGCAGCTCTTCTGAAGAATTGAGAGGTCTAGAAAACGGCCTCTGCTAGCATTACCGTTAACAGCTGGATTTTCCTGTTTGAGTGCAGCTAGCTAAACCGCTAAACATGTTTTTAAAACTTGAACTTTAAGCGCTTATTTCTTAAATCCAGCTTCAGACATTGCTCCATCTGTCTCGCTTTCTGAGGGCAGGGCTGAGTGGTGTAAATTAACCTGTATATGTGTAGCATTTCAAGTCCCTTTTAAGGTCAGTCTTTTTTTTCATATTTGGTTTAATGGGTTTTCTGTTAATGTTTGCTCAAGATTCCTGGAAACCAGTTCAAAGCCCTCCCCACACCCTCAACCAGTCTCTGGTTCTGGCTGAGGTTTCTTCCCGTTAAAAGGGAGTTTTTCCTTCCTACTGTAGCCAAATTCTTGTCGGGCTTTTCTCTGTATTATTGAGTACCTTACAATATAAAGTGCAATTGTTGTTGTGATTTGGTGCAATATAAATGAAAATGAAACTGGGTTTTAGGTCTTCGTTTGTTTGTTTAGTTGATTTATTTTGAAATATTTCAGTGCAAATTAGTCTTGTGCGTGTTTGTGTTTTGTACAGCTAAACGTGCATAACATGAAACGAGTTCTGCTACCAGCAGTTGTCTGTCCTTGCTATTGTTGATGGTTTGTGTCTAGCAGAGGTTGCTGGGACTTGATTTGTTCTTCAGAGCAGACTGGCCGCGGTTATATTTGCAGGTTTGTGACCTGATTGTTCTCCCACAGACACCGCTACGCGTTTAAAGAGTAAATCTTTGGCCTGTAGATGCAGTAGAAGTTCACAGGTGAAGATTTATCGTACCCAAAACGTATTAAACTTGATTATATTATCAGTGTTCCCTCTGTTCAATCACTACCGGATGCAACTATTGCTGCTGTACTCTGCTTAGTTAACTCAGGCGAAGGAAAATCGCGCTACAAATGTTTAATTTCTTTGCTGACTTTTCAAATTTAAACGTGTCACGTGTTTTCTTTAAATTTTAATAATTTAAATGAACTACAACTTAAATGTTGCATAATATATTAGTCTACACAAGCTCCTTTATTTTACTACGATATTTTGTTTTCTATGAAATGAATCGAGTTGAGGAGGCGCGGCTTCTCTGGACCAAAATGGCGGCAGCACTGGCTCCTCGCAGCCTGTAACAGAAACACGGACTACCCACGTGAATTTCACCTTCGGAGGACTCGGTAATAATTATTTGACAGGTTTCAGGGATAACATCAGTAAATTCGGAATTTAATGTTAAATTTCGTAGCCCTTTTGCTCTGTTGCTGCTTCGGTTTGTGATTGGACAATTGCAGACTACGTAACCAGGAAGCCACCAGGAAGACGTAGCTGTTTCTTAAATAACTTTGTTTGTAGCGATTCTTCGACTCGTTCTTCTACTTAAGTTTAATGTTTTTGTATTTATTTCATAAACTGTACGGTAAACGTTACTGTTGAATTTTAACTTCGGATTTCGGACCGCGAGTCAGGGAGAGGGTGCGGGGAGTGACTCCGTCTGCTCCGACGTATTCCCGGTATCGCTTCTCGGCCTTTTGGCTAAGATCAAGTGTAGTATCTGTTCTTATCAGTTTAATATCTGATACGTCCCCTACCCGGGGACCATATATTAAATTGATTTTTGGAACAGGGAGATGGAATAGGGGCTTGCTCCGTCCACTCCGCGCATCGACCTGGTATTGCAGTATCTCCAGGAATGGTGCACCCCCCTAAACATGTGGAAAAACAATGCAAGCTTAACTAGCTACGTTCATTAGCAGTGTTCGAGTGGATCTGTTAGTATGCTGCACCGTACCGTAAACATCCCCTAAATGTGAGTTCACTGGATTTTGCGTATGGTAGGGTGTTTTCATGCACAGCACAGTATATCAGTGTAGTATTTGTAGTTTTTATTTCAGTCCCCTTAAAGAGTCCATGCTTAGTCCACTAGTTTAATTAATGAATAATAGTTTCTGGTATCACAATGTTTTGGGTATATAAGATTAAAGTCACAGTTGCTGCTTTTCTTTTCTTTTTTTTTTTTTTTTACATTTTTCATGTTAACGTTCACAATACTTCTGTAACTTTGTGAATTAAGAAACTAGTTTTCAAAAGGGTGCAGACAGGTCACACAGGAGGACAGTTCCACATAAGGTGACATATTGTTGACTGTCTGTGTATTTAAAATGTTTCAGGTAATATTCCACTTTATTAAAGAGACTGAAACTGAACTGAAACCTACGAAACACACAAGCCTAAGGTCCACAGGTAAACTCAGGGTTGTGTGAGCTGTGCAGAAAACTTTATTACTAAGGCTGATGTTTCAGCTCCAGCACCTTGATAATTAACAACCAATCATAGACTGACTGTTACAGCTCGCAGGTTAGTCCGTGTCCCTTTAATTACGGGAGGAAGAACGACTTGAGGGGTGTGTTCAGTGAGTTGACATCGAGACGGGTAAGCAGCAGCACAGACTTTAGCTTCATGTTTTCCTGTTACAGCCTAACAAACTGTTTTAAAAGGATTTCAGCTAGTTTGTGTAAATATTTTGTCTGGTACGGTTTGAATAGATGCAGTAAGTGAGTTTGACAGCAGGTTTATATTGGTTTGGAGTTAAAAGTGAGAAGTATAAAAATAGACCCAGTCAGCTCACGACTTACAGAAATGGCAGGACAAGGATTTTAGTTGCTGACGATACTGAGTGTGTGTGTGTTAGTTAAACCCTGTGCAATCTATGTGTGCTAAAGTAAGCATCTAATTTGCCTGTGCTAAGTACACAGTTTGTACAGGGCAGCTTACATGTAATAATTTGATCTGATTGATCGAATTCTTGTATTTACACAAGTTATTGCTGTTATGTGTTGTTATACACCGGTTCAGTATAAACCTCCTAATGAGTCAAACTTGATTGAATGCAAGTAAAAGAACTTTGGACCTGAAGTAGTAACTGAATTATCAGCAGCACGTTTCACGTAGGCCCTCTTGTTCTTGTAGTAGTCAGTTGTAGTTTTGTTATTGACCTGCAGGGGAACATTTTACAAGGGCACATAAATCACTCCTGCTGGTTGTGGCAAACTTGCATTAATGAGACCTTTCAGAGTATTTCGATGGCTTGTAGAAATCTTGTCACACTGTTTCAGAAGCTGTGCTAACTGCTTATTTTGTCTTACAGCAGGTAGCCTCAAAGAAACATGTCCTCTCCAGAGATCGCCTCGCTCTCCTGGGGCCACATGAAGGTGAAGGGATGCTCCTCCACCTACAAGGACTGTAAGGTCTGGCCTGGAGGGAGCCGAGCCTGGGACTGGAGAGAGACTGGGACTGACGTAAGTGAAACCAGAATCCAAATGAGGACGGACTGCTGTAAATTAGCTCTGAGGCAAATTTGTGATGTTGAGCTTTATGCTCCTCAGCATTACCCTGGAGTGCAACCTGCTGACCTAGATGAGGTGCTGAAGAAGGGAATCGACCTGCTGGTAATTGGCAGAGGCATGAGCGAGGCTCTGCAGGTAAAACAGACCAATTTATTCCTTTAAACATAATAAAGCCAAAATATAAACTATAGTTTGGTTGGAGTCTTAGCACCTTTGTTCTGTTTGTTTTAAAGAGTTTTTGCTTTCTGTTACTTTGATGTAATAAAACAGATCCCACGCTCAGCTGCTGTATGACCGAGTCATGTTGCACAAGCTGCTCCTATTAGATAAAGTATCACAAAAGAATGAGACTGCAGACTTGGTGGTTCATCCATTCAAATAATCTGGCTAATACGGTCGTTCTTTGGAGGCTGAAAGGCGATTTCCTGTGTGTGGATGTGGTTGGAGCGGAGCTGTGCTTGTCAGACTGTATTCACACCATCGTCTCCTCTAACAGGTTCCTTCCTCCACCCTGGACTTTGTGAAGCAGAAAGGCGTTGATGTAAAAGTCTTCCAGACGGAGAAGGCTGTCGCTGAATACAACAAACTGGCCGGCCAGGGTGCAAAGGTGGGCGGGGTTTTCCACTCCACCTGCTGATGTCACCCTTACCTTGCTGACATGGCCACCTGAGGAGGACTCTACAAGCTTTTTCACTGTAGAGAGAATATCCCACTGTGGTGCTGAAGCTTTGAGTTCACTGTGAAGATGCAAACAAGCTGCCGACTAAATTTTAGTCTCACTTGCATTTGTGACTTCCTGATTATGAAAACACAATAATGGGCATAGACTGATAGACTCTCCTGCTTTCTGTTGTGCTACAGGGCTCATTAGTTTTCCATGCTTTGCACATTAGAGAGCACTCTTTCCTTTACAGCCGTGTGCTTCCTGCCTGCCTTAAAAGCCCAAACTCATCTGCTGATGAATTCAGCACAAAAGAAGCCTTCAAACAACAAGAGCCACCGATAACAGTTGAAACAGAGTTTCTGTAGGTAAACGTGTGGAACGATTGTTGATCTTTGCCTGCAGCTGTTTCATGGCTTAGTCTCTGTCCACAGGCTCAGCAGGAGCCAATCACAGCACAGAAACTAGGTCCATTCACACCTGTGGCCATTTTAAAATCAGGTGGAGAGACCCGCACAGAGAGAACATCCAAACTGTGGTTAACACAGAGTCAAATCTTTAAGTAAATAAACATCTTAAACAAGAGAATTCACAAATCGAGTCACCTTCTCTCTGAGAAAAGTTATTTTAAAGGTGGTGGCAGAAAAGAATGTAGAGCATCTTAGAAAGCTCTTCTAGAGTTGACTTTAGATGCAGTCACATGTTATAAAAGCTGAAATGTATGGATGTTACCTGCTGTCTAAACAGGGAGGAGTTCAGTTTGATTCATCATGTGACAAAATAAAAGTGGAGAATGAAACTTGACCACCTGACTTCTTCTTTATAATTGAATACAAAAAGCTTTTTCCATAAAACCCCGTCTTGTGCTTCCTACAGCTTGACCGTTAATGAGAGTGGTTTCCTGTACAGTTATAATTAGAGATGAACAGAAGAAGAAAAGTCCTGCACGTTAAAGCTGAGGCGCTTTGTTAGCGTCGTGCGGGCTTGGGCATGATGAAGACTTTAACGGCTTTGCTGAATGGAATCGTTCCCTCGACGGCGGCCTCTGCTGGTGGGAGGCTCTCCAAGTTCTCGCTCCACCCCAGCTTGGAAGGGGAGGTCAGGGAGGTTGAGGAGGAGCTGTAGGCCAGCAGGAGACGCACCTCGATCTGAGACGGCTCTGAGGCAGAGACACGAGGGGAGGAAACAAAGTGACGATGGAGCGAGAGTTTTTACTAGTTTGGACGCTTTATAACTTTATATTCAAAGGACAAAAAACATGTTATTAACTGACCTGTCCACGCTGTGTGTGAGAGGTAAACCTGCGTGATGAGTCTGTGTCTGTGGGGGCCGGGCTTTCTGAAGTCTCCAGGTTTAGGATGGATCACGTGACTCTGGCCGTCTGGATACAGAACCTGCAGAGGCAGCGAGTAGTAAACATTCATGTTGGGTGTAAAATGCAAACCAATCAGTGCTTATAAGGCTGGATGATGACCAGCACAGCCTGATTTAAGCTGCACTCGCTGGCAGGTTTGTAAGTAAGCCGAGCTTGATGTCAGTGGCTCTGCACTGTCGAGGCCTCGTTTACATCAGTGGGGAAACAAAAGCATGTCTAACCACAACTGCTGGAAGCACTAGAATATACCCGCAGTGTGAGAGCAATTAATTTGTGGATGAATGGAAGACTGTGGCCATTGTTTTAAACAGGTAATGCAATATTTTTGTTAAATACCTTAAAGCTTAAAACCTACACGCTCAAAACTTTGTGTGTTTTGGTCTTTTATCCACACATACAGTGTTTTAGGACAGACTGACACTTTAGAGAAAGATTTTTGTCTTGCAGTGTCAAAGGTGTGCGCCTTGATCTCTTTCAGATTCGGATTAATTTATTAATCCAACATGTTTACAGCTGACCCACACAATCTATAGTCTTTAAACACTAATCACAAACACTTACATGTCGAGACAGAGATCGACAACGAGGTCGAGAAAAAAAAAATTTAAAAAAAATTTGAATAACAAGGACAAATGCCTCAAAATCAACAATCAGAAAAACTCATCTGAATGACCCCCGTCACTGTTAAATGATCTTATTGCTGACAGACTGTTCGCTGTTTGCAGGCCAACACTTCTATAGTCAGATCACCACCTGTTGGTTTGGCACTTCACAGCAGTTTTGGGGGGGATTCAAGTAGATGAAGTGATTTCTTTCTGGCGTCACATCAAACTGACCTGAACTTTCACCGTGTTCTGGGGGTCCTGGACGTGCTCCAGCGTTGCATCAATGTCTAACGCCACCACCAGGCCAGACGTGAACCTCAGTGGGTTGTCAGACTCCCCCGTTGGTTCAATGATGGTCGCCGTCGCCCGATGGATCTGATGACCAGCAATAAATTAAACAAAACTCAAACCACACCACCGCTGCAGTCTCTGAGGCTCAAAGTTCAGGAACTCCGTCCATAAAAATGCAGAAATCTTTTATTCATAAATGGAAATATCAGGTGGAAAAGAACATTTAAATTAAAACAATGCATTCATGCAAATAAGATTTCAAGAACTAGTTTCAAATATAGAGTGGCTCCAGCTTTGATCGACCTTTATTCTGAAAGTTCACCTCTGTAATCTTATCGTGCCATCTGGAGTCTGCTGCTGTTTTTAGATCGCTCCATGTCTCAGTCTGACCTGTTACACATTTATGATTTATAGAGATGGCACGATACCACTTTTTAATGTCCGATACCGATTCTGATATCATAAATTTGGATATCTGCTGATACCGATATGAATCCGATATAGTGTATTTTGCAATCAATAAAACAGTTTTTTATAAATATCTTGCTGCATTTTGTATAAGTTCATACTCAAGTTTTAAAAAACAAGAAAACGAAGCTACTCTGTTATACCTGTATGCAAAAAATACTGTTCAGCAACACTGATCAATCTAATAAACGTAAACCTGCACCATCCCCCATTCTGGTATTTTAAAGAGTACTTACCTACCTAACTAATAGGGTTGCCAACTCCCAGCAAAAATATTAGGGAACCACCCCCCGCCCTTAATCGATGTAATCAACTTTAATTTAATGCAAGTGTAAAACAAATGCACAGAAATCAATTATTTTTCTACAATAATTAAATAGATTCATCATCTTTCTTCAACAGAACTGCAGACTGCACAGATGGGGAAAAAGTACTATGGCTTACTAGGGTGTATATTAGACTTATTAGTTACTATATACAATAATGGATTTCTATACATTTAATCAGATGACCACGTTTGTTGTAAGATTCAGATAATTATTTATTCAAAGATTATAAATGACATAACAAAGAAAAGTATTTCTTTGTGCCCCCCTCTCCCTGTCAATGCCCTACCTGCCCCCCTGACAACACTTTGCTAGACCCGCCCCTGCACAGTTACCAGCTGTCAGCTACATAGAAAAGGATCCTGGTGTTATTTGTCTCTCAGAAACAGTTCATAACTTCAACTCATCCATGCCACCTAAAAGGTGAACCTGTTTCTCCATCACCTGTTCAGCTCTGATGATTCAGTAAGGACATCTCCTGGTTTCATCTTCATGTTTCCCTCTCACCACATATCCAAACCCACATCATGACCAGCAGCTTTACAGCTGTGGCTCCAGCAAACATCAGCTGATAGAATTTATTTAATATTAATTTCTAACAACAGCTGATCACGCTTAAACGTGCTGCTGTTGTTTATCCGCTGGTCTCCTCTTTCTAGTGCAAAGTGGGCGATAAACAAACAAGAAAGACGGACTTGCGGCAGAAAAGCCGATCAGCTGATCATTGATCAGTTTCATGTTTGAAGTAATAACAGGAGAGGGAGGGGGAGTGAATGAGAGAAGTAGATGCAACTGCGCAGCAAAGACACAATAACTCCAGCTTCGTGTCTATATTTTAATTCTAGCTGAATTACGGGACAAATCGCTTCCTTTTCACCTCAATATGGAGCTCCGATGGCCAGTCCAGCTGTGGCTCAATATATCAGTTGTTAAGCTTAACGTGGAAATACTCTGCAAACATTCAGGGATGAACTTACACACTTGCTTTACTTCTCTGGGATAGTTTTCGCCGAGATGAAATGCCGCGGTTAGGAAGCATGTAGCGAGGCTCCAAATGCTCCAACAGACCGCCAACAGGTCTCGACAACAGCCGCTCTATCACGTGACACATACTGCTCCGATGCGCCGAGCTGGGTTACGCCAAGTAGCGCGTTTTGTGTGTATCACACCGATACATAATATCGGATCGCTCCATCTCTAATAATTTCATCACTTAAACTTAAAGATAAACTTTGAATGTGAGAGATTATAACTGGAGGTAACAGCTGGGTCTCCAGGTCAGGCGTGAAACCACGAGCGTGCTGATGTGAATTAGACAAATTCATAATTTGAGTTGTGCTTTGATGTTTGAGATTTCTGAGTGAGAGTTTGGTCAAGATGAATAAAATCACCCCAAATTAAGCTCAAGTTGAAGGGCCACTCTTATTTTGAAAGTTTAGTTGCTGCCACAGCCCCAGGGTGGGCGGGTCACTGTTGTTCTTGGTTATAATCTGCTACTTCAACAGAGTCAACTCTATCATGTATGTAAGCACTTGGTTATGTGCATGCTTGAGAGCGCCTTATAAAGAGCGATGTGTAATAACTGGTATAAGAAAGCCTTCCAAAGAGTCACTTAAACAGAAGCACTGGGAGACGAGCTTGAAGGAGAGATGAGTGCTGTATGGATTTCAGTCATGAAAACTCGTGCTGTGATGCTTCAGTGTTTTCACCGCACCTGTTCGGGCAGTCTGAGCTGCAGCAGGCCGCTCTGTCTCAGGGTCGTTTGCAGGATTTTCACCAGCTCCACTGGCTTACAGGACGACAGGCGCGGCATCAGCTCCAAGAGCTTATCCACAAAACTGTCCTGGAGGTGCGGCAGCTCGGTCAGAAACAGCCTGAGGGAGGCACGAAACACCGACAGCGAGTCAGGACAGTCCGACACTGTCCTTTGCATCGATAACACACAGACCATCAACAGATTACATGAATCTCCAGCTGATATGGACTGAGCCGAGTTCAACTCTCACTGTCTGAAAAAGACAAAGAATGAAAAAAACATACCTCTGAAAAGACTCGACATCCTGCAAAAACTTCTCGCAGCTGCTGATGAGGAGATCCAACCTGAGGAGAGACACAGGCTGGGAAGTATGTACAGAATGTGTGTGTGTGTGCGTGTGCGTGCGTGCGTGCACACGTGTGTGTGTGTTTACCCCTGTCTGGTGCGAGCAGTCAGGACGAGCTGCAGAGCTTTGGCCTGGAGTCGAACATGATGTATGGTGGCCACCTGTCTGCTCTCCAAGCCGCTGTACAGAAACTCCAGCTTGTAGGTTTCCTCCAAGATCTACAAACACAGTCGCACACATCACATGATCTCACTGTTGCTGTTACAGGTGTGTGTGTGTGTGTGTGTGTGTGTGTGTGTGTGTGTGTGTGTGTGTGTGTGTGTGTGTGTGTGTGTGTGTGTGAGACCTGCTGAGCCGCTGCTGTGGCCGTGACGTTTTGTTTGAGGCACAGAGGGACGGCCATGTTCCACAACTTCTCCTGCAGAGCCTGAAGAAACGAGGGACAGAGCTCTGAATCTGAAGAACAGGTCTGTTTGCAGACACTCAGAACCGCAGCAGAAACACACTCCTACCTTCATTAGCAGCAGCTGGCAGCGCAGGTATGTAGCACAGAAATCAGCAGCTCCAGCAAGCTCCGTCTGCAGCTCCCCGAGCCGCAGCAGGTCTCTGCAGACACCAGTTAACGACTCATTTACTCACAAATAACAATCACATCCCTACAGTTACTCATTCAGGATATCAGGAAGTCTCATGATCTGACGTTTGCAAGAAAAAAAATATCGAAGGGATTTCTGGCATTCATTCATAAAACATGTTCAAAATGTGACAGCACAAATCCTTCCTGCGTGCTTCGTGTGCACACTTCACTGTGTGCGTTTACCTTATGGTCAAGTCCAGCAGGTCCTGGGCTCCAGGTGCCTCCAGGTTCTGGATGGTGCTGACTCTATTGAGACTTTGTTGAAGGAAGAGCTGAGCAGATTCCACAGAACCAGAACCCGGACCCGAGTCCACAGAGTCGAGACCGTACACCTGCTTCCTGCCGGGCAACTAAAAGACAGAAAGTGACAGGAAGGACCGTGAGCGTCACCAGCATCAGTCTGATGACACAGAAGTGCAGGTGCTGTTTGCTGTCGGGTTGACCGTGTTTTCCAGGTCTGACGGACAATTTTCTCAGAAACATGATTGAGAAAAAAAAATCAAGCATCCCGACTGTGAAGCAGCTGTTAATGCTGCTAGTTTGTAATGTGATGCAGTATTTCAGTTCTCACTCTTAGCGGCGGCACGAGGTGGGAGAGGCTGTCCCTCAGGTAGGCGTAGTGTCTGAAGGTGTGGTCGGAGAACAGCGCCGGCATGGTGGGGCACGACTTGGCAGCATTGAACACCAACACCAGGACGGCGATATCTGAGATCAACGGAGTCAAGGACGAGGAAACGCAGCGCACAGCAGTAGAGCAGAGACAAAGCAGCCAAACTGCACCAACAGGTCATAATGGATGACCTGCGAAGCCCCTCGGTGGGTGGCGTTACTCAGGTTCCTGCTCCTCTGTGTGTGTTTGAGATCTTTAGGTGTGTGAAGGATACAGGCCGGATCGTCCATGTCTGGCTCTGGCGTGTCGAAATATGGATGTGTGCTGAGCAGTTCAGGAACGAGCGGTAACACCAGCGTAGGATGGCGGGATCCCAGGAACTTCAAACACCTGAAGGTAGAAAATTAAAAAAGAAATAAATAAACCATCAGCTTAACTCATGGCAGCTCTGCAGAGTTATTTATACACTGGGCTGTAGACTCTTACTTCCAGACAGAGTTGCGGTCGGTGGGATACTTGTTCAGGTTCTTGAGCAGCTCCAGCAGAGCCAGCTGGATGCACTCTTTAGTGGAGACGTTGGTGTAACACAGTAATTCATGGAGAGCTTCTCTGATGTCTCGAGACGAGTCCTGTGCACAGATGGTGAAAAGTCAGACACAAAAACATCACTCGGGTTTGTGATTCCAGATCGTTTCCCCGCTCTTATACCTCCAACACGGCCAGCACCGTGTCCAGCTGGTCCTCTCTGAGCGTGATGTGGGTGGAGATTTCTCTCAGCACGTGGATGGACTGCAGCCTCACTTCCTCGATCTCATCGTTGAACATGTCGACCAGGAAGTCGAGACATTTCTCGGCGAAGCTCGGAGATGACCGAGCGAGTTGGCACAACGCCTCCACCGCTGCAATACGAACCTCTGAAACAAAGTTTAAAACACCAGAAAATATTCAGCAAAAAGAGAAAAATGAATCCTCAACAGAGGCTGGAGACAGAAAACAGCATTTACTTCAATCATTCAACTCTTTATATCTGCAGACACTCAGCTTCATTTTGTCCACTGCCACACCACACCATTTCTTTGGAGCCAGACGTGACCACATTTAGACGTGCGGGTGGAGTTACTAGTTAATGGTAGTAAGTGTAGTTAGCAAGCTACAAGTATGGAATCTATGGATGCAATGCACAGGCAGAGTTACCTGCTATATAGCAGTCTGTGCATCACAGCAGGTCTTATCATTTGGCAGATAATTATTTAAAACAACATTTTAAAGTTCTCTGTAACCTCCTGAGACATTTATGAGAACGTTTAGCTGTAGCAGCCTGAACTCAGTGAACGTATCATCCAAAACTCTGCTGGGTTTCCTTTACCAAACATCTCATCCTCCAGGCCGTGGACGAAGGCTCCGCAAGCCCCCGAGGCGATGAGGTTGACTGTGTTCGTGTCCAGTTTCTCCTTCGGGGCGTCATCGGCCCACTTCCTGCCAGAGGAGAACTCTCCGGAAGCAAAGAGCTCCTTGGCTCGTTCATGGGCTGTGCGCTTCCTCTGGATGGAAAAGAGGAATAAAGGAGAGTGAGCGGAGCTGTGCCGATCAACATCACTTTGCTACAGACTGTCAGATAAAAAAATTAACTCACCCTGAGGTCTGACATCAGCTTCTTATCCAAAGTTTGCTCCAGGAAGTGAGGACTGACCTGCAGCATCGAACCCTGACACACGAGAACATAAAAGCTTCACTTTAAATGGTAAATGGCCTGTATTTATATAGCGCTTTTACTAGTCCCTAAGGACCCCAAAGCGCTTTACATATCCAGTCATCCACCCATTCACACACTGGTGATGGCAGCTACATTGTAGCCACAGCCACCCTGGGGCGCACTGACAGAGGCGAGGCTGCCGGACACTGGCGCCACCGGGCCCTCTGACCACCACCAGTAGGCAACGGGTGAAGTGTCTTGCCCAAGGACACAACGACCGAGACTGTCCAAGCCGGGGCTCGAACCGGCAACCTTCCGATTACAAGACGAACTCCCAACTCTTGAGCCACGATCGCCCACACCATTTGCCTCACACACACACACACACACACACACAGATTCTTTCCCATCATTAATCTTCAGGCATTTTTCCACTTAATGAGAGCAAACTCAGTAAAGATTGTAAATATGTGGATTAAGATTCCTGAGTGGTGGGTGAGCCATCCTCAGTGATGCATTACATCGTTTCTACAGTGATATGAGGACACATGGGTCCACCTGTGGATTCTTCGTGTGAGGACTTCTTCTAGGTTTGTGGTCGGTATATCAAACTGACTTAATTGCTGATGATGTTGTTGTTGTCATGGAAGACTTTATTTACTCACCAATGTTTTCGCGGCCTGCACCCGAACCATCCAGGAACCATCGCTGACCATGTGACTGATCTTACCGAATGCGTCATCAACCAGCCGGATCTCCTCATTGGATGATGGGATGGGTACAATGCTGATTGGACGGAAACATCAACAAGCTACAAATCAGAAAAACTGGAGAAATGTTGCTTACAAGCAAAGTTTGTATCCAGAAGGAACATGAAAATATAAAAAACAAACATTTATGAACGGCAGTTTTTCCAACAATACTGTTTTGTGAAAAAGTCAGAGTAAATGTTCTGGATAAACCATAATCAAACCTACCACTGGAAAGAATAACACATATACTGAAGGTTAAGGGACTTTTACTTTATTATTCATCTTTTAGCTGTAAATGATGTTTTTAAAAGGGTTTGGACCTAACAACACTCTGCTGGAATTATCTGTTGCACAGAAAAGCTGGCAGCTTTCTGTTTTGTTTTATTTTTACTTCTTCTTTCGAGAACATAAGTATCCTTGGGCTAAATATAAAGTCGTCACACATGAAAGTTTCATGAAGGTTTCTGCACTTCAGCAGAGACAGTGCTTACAGACAGCAGTTAGGATTTATCTTTTCTGATCCAGAGAGCGGAACAAACTCAACAGCTACACTGACTGAAACTGAGTATGAGAATCCGGGTCTCCTCACCTCTCTGGGTACAGCTGACTGAGCACCCAAACCATCTGCACTGCTGCAGAACGGACCTGCTCGTAGTCATCTGTGAGCAGCCTGCAGGCCTGCAAACACACAAGAATACATACAGAAGGTTGGATTAAACATCTAAACTACAGTGGGAGTGCAGTAAGCTGTGAGGACGTATTCTGCTCGTACCTGATCATAAATAATCTGATGAATCTTCATCCCTCTCTCATGCAGCTGCAGCTGGAAAACAAACAACAGCACAGAGAGCAAGCAGAGTTATTGAAACCTGAAAATAGAGTGGGCTGTTTTCCTTAAAGCTCACTGTGCTTGGTTCCTAAACACATGAGTCTCTAGTGCTGGTTGCAGTGCAGGGGGGGTTACAGGGTTTTCCTACCATGGCTTTGAGGGCTGCAGTGCGGACTCTGGGGTCTTGGTCTCCAAAGTAGTCGCTGATAATGCTCTGGACATCCCTCAATCCTCCTGGAGGTAAAATAGCAGGCCGCCATAAAAACCATCACACAGCAACTCAAAGCACAATAAATAATGACACATAAATACGTTTTGAGGATTAAACTAAATCAGACATCAAATTTAGATACAGAAGGATGGATTGATGGATTTACCTCTCTGTATTTTTAACATTTTAAGCTTTAGGTAAAATAAATACAATAAGTATGTATACAAACCTAAGGATGTGCCCGCGCCCTCGTTTTCTTTTCCTAGGGGAGCGTCCACCATGCCGAGACATCCCAGGAGCTGCAGGCACTTATTCCTCACCCCAAAATACGTATCAGAGAGATGCTAAGAGGAGAGAAGAGAAACGAGGAGGACATTTACTGGTTTGTGCAGAAAGTCCTGTTGAGTTTGTAAAGACAAATTCTGTGTATGGACTCTGAATAAGTGTTTGTGTCACCTTGTAGGCCACCTCTACGAGCCTCAGTCTCAGTGCAGGACTCTCGGGCAGCTGTGTACCAATGACCAGCAGGGTGTCCAGCAGCTGGGCGAGAACTTGATGGGACTCTGAACACACAAAGAAACAAAACAGTTTGCTATGAAAGTTTCTCTGAGTGTTGGAGATGGATAAATGTTCAGATGTGTCGTACTCTCATTGCTGAGCGTGTTAATGGCATCGTCAACGATGCAGTCGGGGCTGAAGCCCTGCGTTTTAGAGAGCAGGCCGAGCAGAGAGGCAATCTTCAGCCGCACAGAGTTATCCGTCTCCTGGAAGAAAGAATCGTCATCATTAGAAGTTTGACTTTTTTTTAGGACACTAGAAATTCTGGTCTTATCAACTCAATTTAAAAAGAAGGAGAAAAAAAATACCCACAACTCTTTACCTTGTAGTAGTGCTCCAGCAGGATCCTGACCACACCCTCCACGCTCTCTGCCTCCACAGGCTTGCGTGCAAACTGCAGCAGGTACTGCAGGGCATCGGTGGAGTTGGTGGCTTTACAGAGGTCAATGTGGAGAGCGGCAGATTTACTGGGTTTGGACAGACGCAGCTTTTTGGCTGGAGTTTCTTCATGTGGAATCTGTAAGTGTAAAAACACAGTTGCAACTACAAAAAGCATCTAATCTCCTGACATATAATCTTTTTTTCTCTAACTGGGCCATCTATTCTTTTTGACCATATATACTAAGAGCTACTGTCCATTTATCCATGTTCTCCTGTGTTGTTGTTGTTTTTTTAATCCAGGTCACAGGGGCAGCAGTCTAAGCTGGGATAGCCAGACCTCTTTCTAATTTCACCTCCTTCAAGTCTTCTGGGGGGTACTGAGGTGTTCCCAAGCCTGGGTGTTCGCAGGGGTCTCCCCCCAGTGATACCTGCCTGAAACATCTCACCCAGAAGGCGTACTAAAGCTTTCCCAGTAAGAAGCTCAAACCATCAATTGTCTCATTTTTCTCTCAGTTCCTCGCTCCATCTCTAGAAACAGCTCATTTAGGCCACGTATATCTGCAATCCTACTGTTTTGGTCACCACCCAGGTGAGAGGTCATGCTGACAGGTGAGAGTAGGAACATAGTTCATCCAGTAAATCAGCTGCTCCTCTTTGATCACTACAGACCTTTGCGTTGTGACCATTACTGCAGACGCTGTTTAAATCTCCTGCTCCGCTCTCCTCTCACTCATCTCCAAGAAGCTGCGACGCTTAAACTTGTAGTTTACACTGATAACCTCAAAGGCAAGTTAACCCTTTTCTGTCTGAGAACTGTAGCCTCGGACCGTGAGGTGCCAACTCTCGTCACACTAACAACAAACTGCCCCACTGCGAGCTGGATGTTGTTGCTTAATGAAGCCACAAGATCCACAAAAACGAATGACATGACGCATAAACGGCTAATAACAGCACTGCTTCGAACAGCTATTACAGTTTCCTCTTACTTTGGCTATAAATCCTCTCTGAGAGGAGCCAAAAGTTCCTCTGTGCAGGAAAAACTCAGAACATGCGAACGAGCTCAGTTAGCGGATTAATGATTGACATGAATGCTAAATCGGATGTAAACAACTCGGTTTCTTTTTGAGCTTCCAAAGCGTAAAATGCCACTGTCAGTGGATACCGTGCTATACTGTGTGTAAGAATAAAAGCACTAAACAGAATAAGTTGTGCTTTTCCTCCGCACTAAACTCTCAGAGGATCCATGTTGTGTTGTGACTGTGAGCGGCTATCTTTTAGCATTAGCTAACACGGTACTTGGCGCAGAATTGGAACATTTAGCGATTTCTTTAACGTTTAAACTCTAAGTTTACAACAGCTGACGAGACGTTATAATGTGCTCACCTGTACAACTTTGGAAAATTCCTCGTAAACTCGCTTTTTCAGATGTGCTGCCATGTTTATGAACACACAGTTAGCTAAGCGTTTCCATTCAGCAGCAGGATAAATTGTCCCTTTACAGTTTCCGTAACTTCCTGATATTGTCCGTGTCCGCGACATCGATCTTTTAATTATTATTTTGGATATTAATATTTATATATACTTTCATTTTGTTTATTTTTATAGCTTTATGTCAGATTTGATATGCAAAAAATATTTTCTTTCTTTTTCACTAAACACCTTTTCACCTCTTCAAGCATAAGACAGCCTCTAAGTCAAGGGAGAAACCAGTATTATGTCTACACGTAACAGGCAACTTAGCAAAAGAAGCTATTTTAAGTTGATTCTTTAGGCACTTAGCTACAATTAGGCACATTTCAACATAATGTGCAGTGTGTCTCTAACATTTGGAGGAAATTTGACAGATGGAGGTCAAGAGAGAGGTACAGCAGAGGGTCTCTACAAGAGGCTCTGTTGTGGTTTGGATCCTGTGATGTTGGGGAACTTGGAATCCAATACCATCTGGAAAGACTCAGCATCACTGTAGCAGTGTGAGATCATCTTGATAGAGACCAGAAGAAATCCAAAGAAGAGCTTTAAAGAAGTCTGGAGGATTATTCCTGAAGACCACTTATAGAAATTACAAGACAGCTGTGCTGATGAATAAAGGTGATCATGCCAAATATGGACTTTTCAGACTTGTTAGAATTGTACTCTTGTTGTTCCTATTTGTTTTGTATATATGCATATTTCAGTGAATCACTGCACGTATTTACTATTTTTCTATTTAAGCAAATGTGAGTAATGATATTTGGATGATCTACTATTTGTTTTAGCTTTGTAATACTTTGTAGCTGTGTAATGCAGTGAAGCTATGACCTTGCATCTTCGCACACTTTTAGCGATTTCAGACAATTACAACCCCAATGTCAACAAAGTTTGTAAATAAAACACAATGCAATTATTTTCAGATCTCATAAACCAACATTTTATTCAACATACAACACCAAAACATTAAAAATGTTTAAAGTGAAATATTTTACTATAAAACATTAGCTCATTTTGAATTTGACGGCAGCAACACATCTGAGAAAAGTTGGGACAACAAAGGCTGGAAAAGTAAGTGGTACTAAAAAGCATCAACTGGAGGACATTTCACAGCTGTGTTAATTAACAACAGGTCAGTAACAAAAAGAGAGGATGGACAGAGGTTCACCGAGCTCCAAAAAACTGTCTACAAATTGTGGAAACTTTTCAGAATAATGTTTACCAATGGGGGTCAAGATCTCTGTCTAAATAAATAAATAAATTTGGGTAAATTCCCAGATGATTAAACATGCAACTATTTTGCTGGTAATATCTGAAATCAGTAAAGAAAATCAACAGCCTATTTATGCAAGATAATTCATAATTTTATTGGGGGGTTATATTGGTTGGGTCTGATTATGCCCCTGGTCCGGCGGCTTGCACATCTGGAAATGTACCATCAATGCTGAAAGATCTATACAGGCTTTAAAACAACGCAACATAGCAACAGATCGCATCCAGGCGACGTCTTTTTCACATTTCAGCAGTAAAAACAAATCTAAAAAACCAAACAAACAAAGAACTAAAAAACAACAAGAACCTTTTTTTTTGCATTAAAATTTTCCACAAATTATTAATAAAATATGTCATTAATAATACAATACTGCAACATAACTGTAGTAGTATTCTCTTACAGGATCCATGAGGATGTGATGATTGAAAAGGGGCCAGAGAAGTGAAAATAGTACAAAAATCCTGCAGTGATGGACGGTCAGTTGATCTCGTGGAGCATGAAGGATTCTGCTGATGCTTTGGCCCTCTCGCGGTCCGACTTCCACGTGAAGAATGCCACTATGGTCACCATGATCGGGAGGGCCACACAGAGCACGATGCGGCTGATGGGCAGCTTCACCTGACACATCGCCGTGACCGAAGGATTCAGGCTGTCATCATCATTATTTTGGAACAAAAAGGCAGACCTGAAGTCCAGAAACACGGCTCTGCTGTTCTCTGTGGTGTTCACCAGACACCTCCACCTCCTGTTGTTGTCGTCCTTCTGGAGTTTTGTCACCAGAGTGATGTTGCAGCGAGTGTGGCTGGTCAGGTTGTACCTGCACAGAGGTGAAACGGACAGAGAAACATCACACAGCTGTCGTTCATCACCAGGCAGTGTTCACCTGAACATTTCTGCTTTTAGTTTTGGTCTGAGACAATAATTTCATTTGACTTACATTTTCTTTTATAATGTAAAATACAAGTTTATAATTCTGGTTGTTTTTTTTATTCAGTCTTTATCTCATTTTGTGTATTTTGCTGTCTGTATGTGTCTGTATTAGAACCTCATCTATCTAAATTCCGCTCAGATACTCTCGCAATTTAGATTTTTTTAATAACAGGAAATATTTTCCTCCTTAGATAAAGAATAAATAAATCTTTTACTTTTACTCATATTTTATATTTAATGGTACTAGCTGTTTTTAAACGATTAAAATAAAAAAAATTGTTATCTATTAAGATGATTGCAATAAAGAAAACATTTATTGCAATACAGCACAACATGTGTTATGGGTTATTTATGGTAATAGTCTTTATGATTAACAGAAATAAAATGACCTAAAAAACCAACCTGCTGTTGTTGGGCAGCTTTCCCCCATCCTCATCCACCCAGCTCAGGCTGAACACGCTCTTTGAGTATGACTTGCAGCTCCCTGCGTCATAATAAGTGAAGAAGGTGCAGGTCAAGGAGAGGATTCCTCCAGGCTGGAGGTCGGTGAAGGTGGAGAAAGACGAGATTGTGAGGAGGGAGAGGTAAACGTCAGTGACAGGCTGGTCGTTCCTCAGGCAGACGTAGGATCCAGCGTCCCGCACCCTGAGGTTGCGGAGGCTGATGGAGCAGTTGGATGCGAAGGTCATACGGCTGGATTTTTCTGAATCGGCCGTCACCTTCCCATTGACGACCTCATGGACGAACCGCACGTCCGTGCCTTTGTTAAAGAAGGTCCAGGAGATGGCGGAGCAGTCTGAGGACACCATGCATGGAAGAAGAGCGTCTCCTCCAACTGTGCTGTACACAAACACGTCCTTTTTGCACCTCGCACCTGTCAACAAGAGATTTTTTATTTAAACAAATCTGATAAAACCTTCATGAAAGACATGAAAGATCTAAAAGGAGCAATTTAGTATGCAGTAATATTCAAACCTCTGTGCTCTTTAATATTTTCTTACAGTACAGTCCAACTTTGTAGTCTGTAATTTTCATTTTAAGGAAAAAAAAAGCAGTTCAAAGAAAGACTTTCCCTGCTTGTGCTGTTTGCACATTTTTAAGACTTAAAGACTAAAAGGTCAGAGAACTCCCTGCACGAGGCCAACATGACAAAAGGTCGAGGACCAAATTGCATACCAACGATTTTCCCCTGTGTCTATAATCACCTTTATACAGTCAGCCGTCCTGTTGAATGTATTTGAAATGAGAGATTAAAAAAAATTATATGACAAAAAAACAAAGAAGGAAAACACAACCCCCCCAAAAAGCCAATAAATTGTTCGGCTACAGTTCAGAACTGCAGATCTGCATCAAACATTAGGAACAGACATGGAAACCTAAAAGTCAGAGTTGTAAATAGGATAACAAATAACAATGAATAAAATGACGTTTTTAATCGTTTAAATGTAAATTTTAATTAAGTTACAGACTAAAAGTTCCCTCCACGTGTGAGTCTCTCGAAATGTTTGAAGTTTTTAATTTGAATTTTATTTTCATGAGAAAATTAAGACAATTTCTCACTTTCTCACAAGTTGGGAGACTTTTTCACCTCCTGTAGATTTTTCATGCAAATCTATTTTTGAGAAAACCTGCAAACAATCAAACACATCCAACCAGTCACACAAAACCCTGTGTGGAGATAAAAGCTTTGCCTTCGTGAGGTCTGTGTTTCAGATTTCATTTTTAATCACAATCGGTTCTGAATATTAAAACGATTGGATAAATGGATCCTAAAAAAAGATTAGATAAAAAAGTAAAAGTAATTCAAGTGAAGCAAAACTTCTTTCTGTGTGTCTTCATCAGACACGTGTTCATTTACATTTAAAAGAGCTTTTAAAGAATACAAATCTCAAAAAAAGGAGAAACCTCTGTAGCTAAGAATCAAACCAACAACAAACAATCTGTACCTGTCAGGAGAAGACTGGTGAGCAGCAGGACTCTCATCATGTTTGTGATTTCAACACAGCAGCGCGTTTTGTTCTCGTCGCTGCTGCCTCAGCTCTTTCTAGACTGCTGCCTTCATTTCCTGTGTTACCCCAAACCTACAGGACGCTCACATCAGCCTTCAGCCTCACTGATACGAGCCTCACAGGTATTTAGCACGACGTGTTAAATGTTTTTCATCACAAACACATTCAGTAAAATGTGTTTATGTGTGAAAGCTCATTTCTGTGCTTATAACGAGCAGCTTTTTCCATTTCTTTAAATCACATCAAAGCTCCTGCTGTCCCTGCCCATCAGACCTGTGCTGCTTCTGCATTTTACTCCAAACTGCAAACATACATATTTGGATACCATGTGAAAGGATTTTCACAGTACCTTGTATGTTTTTAAGAGAATAAAATCTAAAATACTGTTACATACACTGGATACAGCTGTAGTGACACAGGCCTAGACTGGACAGCAACTCCCTGGTAATCTCCAGTAACCAGGGAAAAATGATGAGTGGTTGCAGGAGGTTGGTGGCTGTCTCAGTTACAAACAGGGTGCCACGCCCAAAACTTCCTAGTGATCGTTTCAGTTAGTGGCAGATTGCTGCGGCTATGCATTTGCAGTGAAGACGCAGATTTGTCCACGAACAACTTCAAAGTACAAGTTGTGCCTCACTGCCAAATCAACATGATTCAAGCGTCTCTGTTTCCAGTTTGTGCTGCAGTCACAGACTCGCTGCAGAGTGGCCTGTAGTCGGTGACTGTTCGCAGACAAGTCAGCGTCTTCCATACAAACTATGCAGTGCAAAGCTGTTCCAAAAAGGCTTTCGGTGCAGCAGCGTGCAGTAAAGCGTTTTACAAGGAGTTTTACTCAATGACAACAACCACCTGGTGCTTACTGGTGGGTCACTGACTGGTCTGCAGACCTGCATGAATTAAGCTTTAGCATTTGACGTCACAGCAGTCTCCAGCAACTAGTCACATCCAGTTAGGATACCCATTTTCCCCTGATGACCGGTGGTTGATAGGTGGTCACTAACCAATTTTTAGGAGCCAGACTGGCGGCACTAAACTGGACCTCTCCACCATGTTTATGGTGCTGGTTCATTCTGGAGCATTTTAATAGAATTATCTGACACATCATTTGGTTTCCTGTGAGACACAAATCATCCCAGACGTTTGTGTCTGCTTGAATCTTTTTTATGGTTTTATTTATATCTTATTATGTCGTATTTTTATTATTTTGTTTAGTTTCAATGCACAGCACTTTGTGTCAGCTGTAGTTGTTTTAAAGTGCTTTATAATCAAAGGTGGATGGACGGTGGACTGTAGCTCAAATTCTCTGCAGGGTCTGTGTGGTCACAAAAAACAGGAACGCAAAAGAGCACAAGGATCCTTATACTGAAAACCCAGCTGGGTCTTTGCACTCAAAGCTTCCATCTCAACATTGAAAAACGAACATGTCAGAAGGCAAAATGCAAACACTGAAGGTTCAGATGCACAGGCCAGACCAGTGGGTGATACAGCAGCTGTGTTCATCTCTTTTACAGTGTGTGGTTTCAATCAGTGGTTTTCAAACTTCTTCTGATATTTTCCACTTTAGACATCCAAAGTTTTAGTGAAATAAACGCCAACACAATAACATAATTCTAAATAATCGATCTTTATATTGATATTCATTTTTAATTTAGATTTGCTCAGTTCATTCCTGCTACTGGTGCCTGCCTGAAGGTGCCTGCCCTGTGGCTTTAAAGCAAGATTAGAGGACTTGTTAACTGCACTCTTATGCTTTGCTCAAATGATCCAGTCAAACAGTGCTGCTGGGCTGATCACAGGTGGCACAGTTTTGTGAAACAGCAAAGAATAAAAAGATGTCTGCTCACACTCAGAGCTGAGTAACGGCGTTTGTGTTAAACACAAACAAAAACGTTGTTTTTTGAGTTTTTTGAATTGTCACTTAGCAGCATCACTTTTCTTATAATGAGATCCAGGGTGTGAAATCTTGTGCAATATTTCATCCTCAGGGGCTTTTGTGAGGAAGTGCAATTGTGTCATTGTGGTGAAAATACTGTATGCTACGTGTCCACCCCTCCTCTTTCTTTGAACAAGGGAAGAAATCGTGCTTTGACCTAATACCTCAGCAAACCTTTTTTCTCTTTGCGCGTCATCCTGCACTTGAGCTAAAATTCGAAGAAACTCTTCAAGAAGAGCTTGTCAGCTGCTAACATTCTGCCATCTGACTTTTCAGCGACCAAACATTCACTCATGAATTCACCAAATATTGGTGGACCAACTTAGGTATTTATAGCTGTTGGGACTTTATTAAATGCTCCCTGTCACGCTCACTGTGTGCAGCAGTGCTACGTGTTAGTTTTGTTTTTTCTTTTGAACGTCCTTTAGATGAAAACTGAAGATTGTCTGTAATTTTATCGTGTTAACAAATCTAGGTTAATGTTGTGGAAGACACACCAGCAGGACACTCATGGGCTGCTTGTGGAAACGACCCCAGATTTTTTCTTATCTGTGGCCTCCAAGCTGCACAATCGGCCCCTGTAACCGCTGTTTGTTGCCGTTTAGTCACACTCTGATCACAAAGGATGTGGTCTGACATGAGACAGCTGATGGATGCTATGCCCTGCTCTGTGGCAAACACTGCTCTGCTTTCTGTCAGGACGCTTGTTCTTTTTTTTAATGACCTTTTTAGTTCTCTTAAACTGGGTTGTGAAATGCTTGGTTGTCGTGTGTGTGACGCTCTTTTTTTCGTCACTGACTTAACTTCCCCGGCTACAGTGTATGAAGTTTTATACTAAACGACCAACCTTTGGTTAGAAAGTCTAACACAGCAACACGCCAAGGACTGAATGACCAGACAGTTAACGCCAAGGAGCACTGGACATGTTGCTTTTTAAGAAAGAAACCATCACTCTGGATTTGTATGAAATCATGTGGCCAAGTGACCAAATCCAAAATCTGTCTTAATTAGGCCCCTTGATCAATTTAGGTAAATAAAACCAAACACTGATTTCTCAATTAAATTGGAGAAACAAGAAACTCTTTGGTACACTTGGTCAACAAAATAGAAAAACTGATTTTGTTTCTTTTGATCCAGTTCTACTACGGGGCTGATTTTCTGCAGGGCACGGACAAACCTGACCCGTCATAGACACTTCACAGCTGTTTGCCTTAAACGTCTTTGTGTTCACTCGAAGATCATTTGTGCTGTAAATGTAGGAGACGTACGTGGCTGCTGTCCTGTGGATTGTTTGCGATCACACTACTTTTCTCTCTGTGATATTTAGGTTAGGTATTTAGGTTTGATTGAAAAAAAAAAGAAAGAAATCTGACCAACAAAAACTGAGTTTTATTTAAATTCTTTAAATTTAAATGTCACATAACTGTTGAGTTATCATTTTCACATATTTCCAAATATTTAGGAAATATGTGAAAAACTAAATTCAGACATTTTGTTTGACTAAATGTTGTAATTGCTTTTTATTATTTGCATCAAATCGTATGCAAGAAGCTGTGTGGCTCGTGTTACAGTAACGACAGTAGGATGAGCTTCACGTGTGGACGATGCCATCTAATTAAACAAGTTACTACTGAGACCTGCGGGTGGACAAGAAGATTTAATAATAGAGTAGTTAGTGTTTGTTCAACACAGCACTGAATATGAACCAACATTTATATTTATAAGCAGCTGAAATGAATTAAAAGATAGAAATCTTTGCTTGGCAGCAGGCGCTTAAACCCACAGACTGTACATAAAACATTAACATAGCCATAATGCAACATCACCCACTGATTATTCAGGTCCTGCTGTGAAGCCTTGAGCTGAACATTTATTGTTTAAATAAAAATATCAAGTTTGAAAAGGAAAAAACGGTGAGGCGTAGCTCTGACTGACAAACACAGACAGGCAGATGAAAATCACAAGGCTGCCCCGGCCTGAAGTCCTTCTGGACACTAACAGAGACAATGATTAAAACATATCATCATGTCCTAGTAAACAAGACTGAAAGCTAGAGAGTAAGACCCCAAACTCATCACTAAAGTGTCCCCTGAGGTCAGCTGGACTTCTGAAACCTGAGAAGTCGCCCCCTGCTGGCTACTAGGAAAGATGCACTTCACTCATCACAAGCAGAAGCTACAAGCCCTCTTTTTTTTTTCCATCTTTCAGGAAGTCAGTACCTTTGAAATTATTGATAGACCGATGCTTTACTGAGCCTTTGTTTTAGTGTGGCTCTATAACAAAAACATAACAAAGTGCAGTCTGTAATTTTTTTAAAGAAAGAGTAAGCACGGTTTCAAGTTTTGTTCAGCCGTCTCATCACCACCAGGTGAATGTGAGTTGATAAAAGTAGTCGTAGCTCCTGGACAGGAAGCTCTTCTCCACGGCGTGAGGCTGGATGCTCACCCTGTAGCCCTGGTTCTCGATGTCCATCTTTACACAGTCCAGCAGATCTTTGACCAACGGGGCGGCCTTCCACGGCCCGAACGTCACCACCGACTCCTTAGCCGCCTCCAAGCTGTTAATGGCATTATCATAGAAGCCCAAATCCTCCTCCGTCCTCAGCACGCAGATGATGATGTAGGAGTGGCGTGCGGCGATGGCCTCGGCCCTGGCGATACGAATCAGAACCTGGAGGACAAATTCTAAATGATCATTCAAAAAGTGGAAATGTGAAGTTGCATGAATTCCAAAGTAGGAGTGTAAACTACAAACAGTCGTGGATTATTGGTGTGAGTGCAGCTCACCTCGATGTTTTCCTTGTAGTGTGGGACTCTGGAGAGGAACTGCTGCCTTCCCACCAGCTCTCCAAACAGCCGAGGAGTCTCCTCCAAGAGTTTGATCAGCGGTTTGATGTTGTAGTGGATCGCCTCCTTATGAACCTGCAGAAACACGAGTTGCAAACTTAAAATTCATTTTGGCAGCAGGGCACACCCCCTGTTTTTTAAACTGGTTTTATATTCATATCTTAAATACTTTAAAACTATTAAGAACTTCTTCAACGTAAACTTATGGCGGATGTTCATATTAAACATGGCCAAACAGTGTGAGGACAGTCCTAATAATCTTCCCTGTCTAACAGGTTTGCAGGCGCAACCAATCAGAAGAAAGCTTAATTAAAAGGAGGAGGAGTTAAAACAGTTTGTGCCAGTGGCGCCAAAGCCCAGTAAATACAAAAAAGGATTATTTTGAATTGTGAATCATCCAAAGCCAGTCTAGTAGAATCAGAAAGTAAAAACATGGAGCTTTATACGAGCAGAGCTACATCGTGATAAGTCGGACCTCCTGGATGTTCTCCTTGGGCAGCTGTTCTGATCTCAGGAACTCCAGGATGGCTCCAAAGTGTGACCCATCGCGGTCGATGAAGTAGCGTCCCTGTGTGTCAGTACGCAGTTTGGGCGGTCCGCTGAAGATCTCCGCCAGCTTGGAGTCGGAGTGCTTCCTGAGCGTGCTCAGAGTGGTGGTGTACAGGTGACCCCCGACATTTAACTGCACAACATGAAAGTTCTGAGGAAAAAGACGATATTTAGGTTTCTGCAGAGTGCACCAAATGACTGCAGGAACAGTTACAGTATTTAAACACTGGGCTTATGTGCAGCCTCATGCTCAAATACAGACGATCATGAATCAAAAGTTTAAGCAGCTTTTATCTTATTATTGTGAGTCAAAGTCAGAATCTTACATAACCAATAATAGATCAATTTAGTTTGCAAAATCTGCAACACAACTAATTACAGTCTTGAAATTAATCATATTTATTAGAAGTGTTTGCATTTGAAGGAGGGTTCTAAGACATCTCCTGTGGATGATCCATATTCATCTTGTAGTTTTTCCTCCCCTTGTCTCGATGGAGCGTGCTCACTTTACTTTACATACAGTTTGAATGTTGATCATTCCTGACAACAAGGATTTTCACTTGAGTTTAAGGAGTATTTTTGTCTGTGATTTCTTCAGATCTGCACATAGAGAAAGCTAAATAAATACCTGAATGCACAGACTGTGTGTAGCTCTGCAAGGCTGTCAGGCAGCATGAATCACCCACTTAATGATTTGCACAGGTAGATAAGACTGCATTCCTTCATGGTCTGTCAACACTGAAGCAGCCTGTCAGGGCGGCCTCACAGGACTAACATTAAAATTATGGATAACGCCTTTCACATGTTTATTTATTTATTATATATTCATTAAAAATATATAACATTAATGGAAACAGTGTAGATTTTGAAATATATTGTAGTAACAATCACCACGTACCAAAACATTGTCTCTTAACATTTTGCTGTTGTTTGTTTTCTTTAAATTATTTTAATTGTGCCACATAATATGCTTAAAAGTCCCATGTTACTGTGGTTCATGAGCGCGGACATTTAGCCTGCAAAAGTTTGGTTTGTTTGTTTTTTAATTGCTCATGACCTCTTAGAAATCAAATAAAAGACAGAAAAAACTAAAACTAACAGGAAACTGGCATGCCTGTTTCCTGTTTGGGCCTACGTGTTAAAAGTTTCCATTTTTCTTTCTCATATAAATTTATAATTTCTTAGATTTGTCTTGTGAGCTTTTGGCGGAAACATTTTTCCCTAAACTAAGCGTATTTCTAATAAATGGCAGCTCTTTGAGTACAAATAAACACCTATTTGTTTATCACATGATCATAAAAGACAGGAAAATGCAGAAAATAGATGCATGGACATGCAGACATGTTAGATCAGCGCTGTGAGCCGGGACATACCCACAGTGTAAACAGCTTCACAGCTTCAGCTTACACAGCGATGCGTCACTTTTTACTCTCTTACCTGTGATACTTACAGTACATTTCTCTGATACTGTACTCTTATTTGAGAAAAACTGGAAGGAAACATGCGCACCACACTTTAAATATTATGAAGAAGCGTTAAAACCAAACCAATGCACAGAGACAACATTTCATGATCTTAAGCATCTAAATTAAAAATATTCTCTGGAAATATTCTCATTCCTGACTGCAGTATTCACAAACATTGCCTCTATAATTGGATGATTAGTGGCTGTTTTATGACCGAGCTGTGGCTGTAACAGTGCACTGCTTTGTATCAGCGCCTCATTTGCCCGTAAAGGAACCGACCGTAGCTGCCAATGAAGGACAGCGTTTTCCTTGTTCCTCAAGTAAAGTACTACATATACTGCTAGACTGAAAGTACAGCAATACTTCAGTAAGTCTGTGAAATCCCACCGCTCACTGCGTCGGCTCCACCTTTACATGCACAGAGAAGTTAAACGGTGTCCCATTAATCCTGAAACGGCAGGAAAGGTTTTGGGAACATTTGAGACGAAACTTCCTCGAAGTTGGAAGTTTGATTCCTGTGAACCAGAGCGCCCTTTAACGCGTCTCTGGAAAACTGTTAGAGATTAAAATGCCGTGAAACAGCAGCACAGCAAACATCTGCCCTGTTTCACTTTGGAAAAAGTTATAATTTGTTGTCTGGCTACACCTGCATCCACCTGTTCAGCCCCCGAGCAGGTGGAGGATTTCCTTCAGCTCCACCAAACTTCCAAACGATCGCACCGAGGGCTGCAGTCTTACCGGAGCCGCGGACGAAGGCGGTTTTTCTGTTGATTTGTAGTCCGGCAGACTCATCGTGTCTTCAGCGGTGGTCCGGGTGGGAGCTGGGAGTTCACCTGTTACATTTTTCTACAGGTAGCAACCAGGGGGCGTGGCCTAACCCGGACCTTCTTTAGTGCCGAGAAGATGGATCACTCGGCTGCAACACGATTCCCTTTCTTATCAAACTTTTTAATTTACCCTGAAACGGGGAAAGCGCGCGTGCGCAGACTGATAACCGTTTATTTATACTCGCATATTTCTAAAATATATTTATTCAGTGTAAAGTTGTATGGATGGTGTGATATATTCACGTTTACTGTAGGCTGCCACACTTACGTCACACGTGACGTTTGTTGCACCAGAAAATGGAGCAGAGTGACACATCTTTCCTTCTGACGTCACCCTAAAGGGGCATTTCACTCAGCTTACTCACTTTTCTCGTTAAACACTCCGTGAAGCTGTGAACATCAGTCTTGTACTCATTGGTTTCCACACTGACGTAGTTCTCTTTTCAATCAGTCATTGACACACAAAACAAAAGTCCTGATTCATTTACTTTCAAGGTGAGTATCATTTCACCATAATTCATAATTCTTACCTAGTGGTTCGTGTCCCACCAGCGGGGCCAGCACCACAGTTTGACAACCAGCTGTGCACTAAATGCAAAACTTAAAGCTGAAACATATTTTAAAACCAACAATCTGCATGTACAATGTCCAAATTTTGAAGCTTACTTTACGTGTAAATTCCAGCTTCCACCCACCAGGGGGCGCCATAGCAAGTTTTGGATTTTCACTATTTTGAATAGAATATTAGATTTCACATCCTGTGTCCTCCACGGGGACATTACTTTGACTTTTCTCTACCATATACTTTGTTTATGCCCAACACTGGTTTCATACTTCAGCAGTGACTCTGCATTCTGCTGTGAAATAAACCTGCTGCTCCCACACACCAGGAAAAAAACATTACATTGTGTTTAAGAGGTCGGCTCATAATCTTCTGAGCACTTTGACATGTTTTGAAGATGAGCTGGTTGGGAAAATTGTAAACTTTTCCCTCAGTTTTCCCACTCCACATGAAACCTACAGGCAGTTAAATAAACCCACTCATTGTTTTAAGTGTATTTTCCAAATTTTATTGTTTTTGTACACAAAAATCAAAGGGCCTTGCTTCCATCTGGTGTGACAACTGAAAACCTGCAAAGAGAAAAAAAAGAGAGAATTAAACCCAGTTTCAGAAATCAGTAAACTGAATCCTGAGCTCAAATTGTTGACCTCAGTTTCTCTGAGTTCCAAAAAGACTGTTTTTGGTGTCCTGTAAAAGTGTCACGGTTCGTGTTTGTGAGCTGAAACCCTTCTCAGACAAATGCCTCGATGTCTTCAACCGAAAAGAACCCCCTGCTCTGAGGAACCGGAGCAGAACCACAGAACGTGATTCTGAACCAGCGACCAGCAGAACCAGAATGAGTCCTGTTCCGACTCGTCATCGTATCATCACCGAAGGGAGCCGTGTGAGACCGTCCAACACCACAGTCTGTGTTAAATCACTGGATCCAGATTATTTTGCGATATATTATCAGGACAGCAACAGTGTCACCCGAACGGACCCGAATGGCTAAAATGTCATAATTTAAACCTGGTGAAGCTCCACTGTAGCAAACAGAACAGATCTACTTATCAGAATTCACAGAACCTCCAATTTTACTGCAGAAGAACTAAAAAACTAATTAATTTTTTGTGTTTTATATCTTAGGTTAGCAGCAGGACAGGATCTATCATTAGTATACAGCCTTGTGAAGGCCCTGCAGCAGTCAAATAAAACCCTGTCTCTTACTCTCTTATGCAGTGGGTACAGGTGCTCCCTGGGGCATGACGGGCACCTCTGGCTTGGCCCCCTTCTGCTCAGACATTGGTGTGGTGGGCAGGGTCTCCTCCTTGGGCTCCACAATGCTGACGTGGTCGGGCAGGGGCTTCTTGGGGCCGATCTTACCGCTGGGGTCCCAGGGCAGCATGATCTTCACCTTGATGCCCAGCACACCTGAGAGCATTAAATAAACACATCAGTGCCACCAAAACAACGCGATGGCGGTTTGATTTGGCTGCATGTGGCCGAGCTGCACTCACCCTGCCTCAGCAGGACGTGGCGGACGGCTGTGTCGACGTAGTAGTTGACGGGGTCTCCGCTGTGGATCATCAGACCGTCCACAAACTTCATGGACTTGGCCCTCTGACCCCTCAGCTTGCCGGACACGACGACTTCACAGCCCTTGGCGCCACTCTCCATGATGAACCTCAGAACGCCATAGCAAGCCCTGAAAAAGCAGAGTGATAAAATAGCGTTAGCGGCTAATCAATCAGTGGATCCAAAGTACTGCAAACTTCTCTCTCAGGAAACTTTCACTGTGACTGAAATGATTCTGGTTGGTCGACTTTGTAAAAAACATCAATTTTCTACATGGTGGGTTCAGCTGGAGGTCTTCAGGTTTTAAATCGGTAAAACATGCCATGAGGAGGAGACGCCTCCATCAGTGAGCTTCATTAAAGCGTGCTTTGACCCTTCTCAGACAAATGCCTCAATGTCTTCACCTGGAAAGGACCCCCTGCTCTGAGGAACCAGAGCAGAACCACAGAACGTGAGTCTGAACCGGCGACCAGCAGAACCAGGATGAGTCCTGTTCCGACTCGTCATCGTATCATCACCGAAGGGACAGAAGCCGACACACAGAACACAGGCTTCACCCTCAAAGTACACATGAGGTTTTTATGACAGGGTGTTTCCTACTGACCATAATTTAACCTGTGTCAGCATTTTTACTGTTTACTCTTCTAGATTACAATCAAATTTCATACTTTGGGTCGGTTCCAACATACTAAGATGTGCCATGAGCAGAATACACTCATAAATAATTGACTTGAGAAAAACATCCAAACATTAAACTGTGTGCAGAGATGTATTTAGAGCTTAAGATGTCATGTTAGGACGCATAACGTTAAGAAACATTTAATAAAATATCTTTGTGTTAAAGGACAAAACACAATACAAAAAGACAATTATAATGGTGAAACTAACGTTAATATTCATTCATTAAGAACAAGATTGTGTTGATGTAAAGAGCTTATGTGTAAATGTACATTACTTATTACTCAATGGCAGAAAACATTTCTAAGGTGGAAGTTAACCCTGTGGAGCCATTAACTGTTTAAATCACACCAGTCTGATGAAATTTGTAACAAAAATAATTGAGTTAAATTAAAGAAATCCAGACATGCTCACCTGCGCACAGCCAGGCCTCCCAGCAGTTTGTAGCGCAGAGACTCAGCCTGAGCGATGGCACACAGACCACGAGTGGCAACTTTCTCGGCATACAGCTAAAAGAAAGAGGAAGGACATTTCAGTATTACAGACAAACACCGGGATCAAACCAGCATGTGTAACGATGGACTGCAGGTTTCCTGCACCGTCTACAGCATAGTCCTGATGCCTCGACCCTTCTCAGACAAATGCCTCTGTGTCTTCACATGGAAAGGACTTCCTGCTCTGAGGTGCTGGAGCAGAACCACAGAACGTGGATCTGAACCAGCGACCAGCAGAGCGAGACTGAGTCCTGCTCCGTCTCGTCATCGTATCATCACTGAAGGGAAATCTGACTGTCTAACATCAGAAGCCTTTGCACTTTACTCACTGGGTTTCCTACCAGGATGAGATTACTGTAAATTAAACAAACGACCTCTAAACAGTTTAAAATTCCATATTTTTACATTTTTGCAGCCAAATGTATTTATTTTTCAAACTCTGAAACCTTCAAACATTTGTTCAGATACACCTCACCACTGACGAATTACTTTCCGTACTAAAAACCATCCAACAGTGAGCTTAAAACACCGATTAGTCTTACGCATTTATAGCGAAAGGCTGGCTTCCGGTGACGGACCGTCCCTGGCATGCTCATGGAAATGTAGTTCTTTGAGCAGATATTCATTTTCAAAAAACGAGCACAAGACTGCAAAATAAATACAATTCAGGGGGTCAACCGGGAGGTCGATGTAACTGGCAAAACAATCTGGGGGCCGACCACAAGGTCAGCGATGGTGGCGAGGCTTGGCAGGTGCGGGATTGGCTGGTGGCAGCTCTTGGCGTGGCTTGGCAGGGCCAGATGTCGCAAAGTCCTCTGGCTGAGACGTGGCTGGACCTAGTGCCATGGACGCCGCAGGGAGCTGGGAGGGCTCGGCTGGGTCCCCAGCTGGCGGGGAAGTGGAGATCATGGCCATGACAAAGTACTCTGTCTCCTTTGGTCAATAGTCCAAGAATCCTTGGTCGAATGCCAAATTCAAAAATATTGTCAAAGAAATGCTGCTGGCTCATCATGGACATGACCATGATGACCCAGCAGCATTTCTGTCACAGCTGGGAAGGCTGGTGCTTGGTGTGGGTCCAAATGCAGACACTTGAAGGCGTGGTGTGTTAGACAAAAGACGCGTTGCTTATTGCGACTGAATAAAAAAAACTTACCAAGCACTCAAAACAAAAGGAAGAAGGAAACTAGAACAATACTGATGATAACTAAACTGGCAGGAACTAAATTACTACACGCGGAAGACAAAGAACATGGAAACCTAGACGTGACAATCAACAACCTGGAAATATGGAAAACATGGAAAGAGGCACCAGCCTTGCTGCTCAGAGCCATGTTAGCCAGCCAAATGAAGCAGTCGCAGCACAGAGAGGATCCGGATTCATCCGCTCAGTATTGAACCCAGACGGGCACAAATGATGCCGGGAGGCCACCAAATGTTTATACCCCATCCAGTGTGAGCCCATTTTTAAAGGCTTCCACATGTTTGTGAGTAAAACGGGGACAAAACAGTGCTGACCTTCTTCTTTCAGATTTGCACCGCCATCTTCCAACAGGCCTTAGACAGGAAAGGACCAGCAGAGGATGCGGACATGGATTTATAGATATAGTTGCCGGTGACGGTCACGGAAACGTAGTTCTCTGAGCAGATGCGACGAGCATGATTTTGCTGGTTCATTATGTTCATTACCAAAGCAAGTTTCTAAAAACCACCAGATTTATTTATGTGTTCATCTTCAAACATGGAAATATAAATCAGAACAAAACACACCAAACTTCAGGAGGTAGACAGGTCCACTCCCTCACATTATAAAGGCAGAGCAGGTGAAATCTGCAGCAGTGACACTAATTATATTTTTATTAATTTATTTATATTTTTATTCCTCCACAGTTGGTGCAGCATCCACAATTTCACTGTACATGACCAATGACAATAAAAGGCTGTTCTGTTCCATTTTATTCTATAATTAATATAAATAATAACAATAATAAGAAACTAAGTTACTTTATGAGTTACAAATATGTTTTTGTAGTCTGTTGCTTTTTATTACTTGAAAGTTTTAGGAATAAAGATTTGAACTAAAGAAGTAAATGTCAGGACGAGTCCTGCTCCGTCTCATCACCTGACCGTTTAAAATCAGAAGCCTTTGCACTTTACTCACTGGGTTCCTACTAGGATGATATTATTGTCAAGTGCTGTTGGCAAAGTATTAATATTTTAAACAAAAAAAACAGGACTTAAAAAAATAATAATTTCAAATTCCATGTGTTTACATTTTTGTGGCAAACCAGCAATTTCACCCCCCCCCCCCGCCAAACGCAAAACCTTTAGATATTTGTTCCGATATGTCTCCACTGAGGGATTATTTAATACTAAAATACATCCGACAGTGAGCTTAAAACACTTCTTAGTCTTATTTCTTGGTTTCCTACCTCCACGCTGCCCTCGGGGAAGCCAAACCTCTTCTGGACCACAGCGGTCAGCTCTCTGATCCGACGACCCTTCTCTCCAAGAACATTCTGGGTCCTAAAGACGGTGAGATGATTAGAGTTAAACCACATGAGTAAAAATAACAAAACACCGGCACAAAGCTGAGACAACATAGAGCTACACAGCTGAAGTATTTATCTCTTTAGATAAGCACACCGAGTTTACATGGAAGGAAGATGAGCTATATAAACAAAACTGACACTGGATGTAATTTTACCAGTGATCTTAATGCATATTTAAAAACCAACATTTGCATTTACCAAAGGGAAATGATCAGGACTGACTTCTAGGATGTCTTTTAATGTAAGCTTTTATTTTCTCAAGCTTAAAATATGTTTGTCTTTAAAAATGGCCAAAAATAGCAAATGCTCAGACCACTGTTAACACACACTGTGTCTTACAAATGGACCAACAGTGTTTACATGCATATGCGCACTGCCAAAGTAATGGCATATCCACTGTATACAGTAGAGACTCATTTTAAGCTTCTATACTTGTTTAGTTTCTAAACTCAAAATCTTCTGGAGCGGTAACAACTTCTTGGATTTGGACTCATCACCCCTTTCCCATTAGCAGTTTGCAGGGTTTTCCATTAGGTTCATAGTACCTCTTACTTTTTTAGTACCTACTCGGCCAGGGTTCCAAACAGGTACTAAAAT